TAGTGGTTGTCGAATGAGTTCATGCCGTTTATTTTTGCTACTCAGGAGACGTTGAAATCTGCAGTCGTATCCCGAGATAACCTCCTGCTGTACGTTTCAAATATACCTGCGTTTTGACTACCCACCGCTTACTCCGCTGTTATCCGGCATGCTGATGGGGAAATGAAAAGACGCCTTATGGTTGAGATACAATAGGCATACAATGGAGGGTCAAGTCTGAAATGACCTAAAGTAATCATTAGCATAGTTCCAATGAGATCCAAGAAATCAATTCTTAAAGGTTTGGAAGATATCATCTCTGTCCGATCAACATTTCATTTCAGTGGTTCTTGAATGTATTGAAATCAAAGATTTAGGAAATCAAACACTATGTTACTTAAGATCCTGGCAGAACTGGTGAACAGTGCTGCAATTGATTATTCTTTGTAATTTGGGCAGCACTTGTGGTTTAACAAAACTACTGGCATGGAGTTTGAATTTACTTGCACAGGCGTATTGAAGCAATTGGTCCTTGACCTTTATCAGTTATTTTGTTTTCTGTGCTTTTAATTGGAGATTGAATCCTTAGAAATTGATACTATAACAGGAGTGGCATACACTGTCTTGTTGACAGTCGTTCATCATCTTAAGGCTTGAGATTGAAAGTATGAGGAATAGGATGTCAGGGTAAAGAGCTCCTTGATTCTGCTTGGGACTAATCAATTCAGGGTGATGTGATCATCCTTAATTGCTCTTTCATTACATCCATCTAGGTCGCGAATCCCACATCCCTTTCTCCTCTTCACCGTCCACGTCACATCCCGCTCAAGCTAGCGCCTCACCAGCTAGGAGAAGCGGATTGATGACTCGAATTTTTGGTTCTAGCCGAGATAAAGTGAGTTTTTATTTCAGTCGTTGTTTTTTACTTCTTTGGTCTTTCTTACCTATGCAATTTCTAATTTTTCACCATATGAGGTGCAAGTACTACAAAACCACGTGATCGCCTGTGGTGTCTCTGCTATACCCTTTGGCATATACTTGTATGGTCCCGTTATTTCACTTATCTCGAAGTATTGCATCATCCGAGAGCATAGCTTATTCAGGTTCTTGGAGGATTTTTGTGGCAAGGCCACAGATAGGTTTTGAAGTCGTCATTGATTAAAGGGCCTTTTTTGAGGAAAAAATTAGGTTACTACACTTGATTTGCATGCATATCTCTGCCACTTTTCTTCATTTTGTCAGCAAATGTCCAAGACTTTACTTTTAGGAAATTGCCCGTCCACTGAACCCTATCGTCACTCTCGAAGGGTCAATCACGCAAAGTGCATGGGCTGGAATAAGTCGTAGCAGTCCAATGAAGACTCGCATCAAAACATTATTGCAGCTGCAGGATGTGAGTTCATTTGGAACTAGTTGTGTGGGCAACTGGATTAAGACCTAATCTTTATATTTACATTGGTGATACTTGAAAAAATCCTTTTTTGTTTTTCCGAAACCTTTATACTTTAGCCACATTTTACTTTATCTAATCGGACCGGTTAGAATGCTTTTGAAGCTAGTCGTCTAAACTTTTTCTATATAGTCTGAATTATCATGGCCAGTGTCGAAGATTTGATTTTCAACACTCTTTTCCCCTAACATTGGTCGAGAGTCCTTTTGGTCGAAAAAGCTGAATAATGGCTCCGCTGCCAATTAAATCTGCTAAATATAGGCATTCTCAGTTGCAAGTCTTGATTGTAAATAAAAAATCGAAGTTGGAATCTCAATTTTTGTGGCCCTTAATGCTGGGAGAAACTCTTCCCCCATATCCTTCCCATCTCATTGATAACACCATCTGCACATATCAGTTTTCCTCAACCTAGCACCAGCTTCGTGACCACCCTCCTTCACTCGTTTGCATCCTCACCTTTTGCTTATGCTTGCAATGTTGCTCACTTATACTTGTGTGTGGTGTGTTTTGGAATCGACGCTCAGCTACATCACCATGTCGCGATCGAAGTGATTCCCTTACACGTCGTCACACTATGGTACGGAAGATGATATATGACTTATTCGACCGGTTAACGGTAAGTTTTTTTTAACACCATTTGAACCTGCTTCTGGCTTCACTTAGCTCAACGCACTATCTCCTTTGTGTTTTTCACTATTTGATGTGTATTGCACGTTATTTGGAAGTTTGGTGATTGAGAGATTGTATAAACCATAGGTCGTAGTGTAGCAATAGTAGCCAACTTTATGCCAAATTCTCATAAAATCACTTCTACAATCTGTCAGGGCTAATCTGCTCATTCTATCTAAGATTGAGCTATGTCTTCCTGAAATGCGTTATCTCGTTTGCATCAGTGTACAATGGTAGCGAAAACAAAAAGCAAGCGACAATTGCACGTGAAATTTTTTAAATGAAATTTATGATTTTGAAGACCTTTTCACAACTTGTAGTATGTTCCTCATTATTCATTTCTGTACAGGTTCTCAAATCGCGGACACTACAAGTGTCTTCTTTGGAAGGTATCTGGCTTGATTGTAATGACATGCTGAACGATCCAGACACGAAAACACCCACATTGAGAGTTTTGATAGAAATGACTGAAACGCAATATACGCAACTCGGACTAGCATTGAAGCATACCTTCTTCACGGTTATTTGGATACCTTTCCAAAAGCATTTTGAAATGCTGTTTTCTTCACTTATAGGCTATCCAAGGCATGGGTTGTGAAGAACTCAGTCTCAAGTGGCTTAATGTATTGAGTGAGTATGGAAAGACGATCACAGGTTTTGAAAAGGTTTCTTTTAAGTTGAAAATTTTTTCATAAATTAAGCCCTTTTGTTAGTGTGCATGTTTAAGGATATAGATGTGCTTGTCGCTAAATGGACGGAGGAAACTCTGTTCGCTAAGGATCACCCTCAAGCGCTTCTTGTTCTGCAACTTGCTCAGCATCTCATACAGTTCGTAGGCTAAGTTTACCAAGGCTCCGTTGTTCTAATGGGAGTGATGTTCCAGACATAACTCAGCGTTTATCGGTGAAGAAAACATGAAAGCTATAGTGCATGCTGTCTGTGTTAGAGCTTGTAAAACTATGGATCCACTTATATCTCATTGCCTGGACGTCCTAGACAATGTTTTAAAATATGGGTAAGTGCAGTCTTTGATTAGTGCAGCTATAATGTTCCTCAATCATATGCTTAGTGACCTACCTCCTTCTGAACTGATGGCTGTAGTAGCTACACTCTGCGTTCTTGTTTGTGAGAGCAGATTCAGAGAACAGGCTTGGTCACTTGCCAGAGCTCTCCTTACTTCACAAATGGGACAGAGGTAGGATTTGCTTATATTATTTTTTGAACATTGAATTAAGCCTGCATTGTTGATGACATTCTAGAAAAGCATTTTTCTCATCAGGACGCGAAAAGCTCTCCTTTCAATACTCAATGGTACTGGAACGGGCCAACGACCTCACGGAGAACGACGCGCTAATGATGAACCAAATGAGAAGAAAATGAAGCGTATGCTGCGTGGCGCAATTTTTTGCCTTGCAAATGCAAATTGGGGAACAGCGGTAGAGTTCTGTTGCAACAAAAAAATTTTCCCCCTATTATTGTCTTATAGCAAGTTGATGCTGTACGTTGCTCGCCTGCTAGCATAATAGAACCTATGAGAACTGCCATCCAGGTCGATGAGACAATTTGTTATGGTTAGTTTGATTTTTCTGTGGAATGATTTTCTTTTCTTCCAATTTTATAGTGTTGGTATCGACTTATTTATCTTATTTATAACTATAGCGTAGGCAAAGCCTTTTACAATTCAATTTTCAATTTTCAAGACTAGTATTTAGACGTACTTTTCGATATTCGTCGGTTAATCCAGAAATACGGTCGTGATTTACAACATATGACTTGGATTAAACTAGTCGAATTGTTTGAAACTGTAATCGACCTATGTGAGCAGGTAGAACGCCTTGGCCAAGCAGTACTTCTTCGTATATTGCGATTCTAAATTTTCAGAGATCTGAATATGCCAAGACTTGCGAAAACTCACTTCACCAAATCCTTCTTCTTACTGAACAACTTTACTCAGATGGGCATTTTGGAGCACCGCCTGATTTGCTTTATGATCTTATTGAGAAATGTGCTGATAGGCGTCCCGACACATCGGTTGTGAAATTGATACAATACAGATCGATGGTAAGTAGTAATTATGACATTAGATGCTCACGATGTTATATTTTTTGCTGAGAATGTTGCTGTATGGTCATCTCTACTTATTTTTTACGCGGGTTCTGACTATCTTCGCCTGCAATCTTTTTTTTCGTTGTCTCTTTTTTATACATTGCTTTAGTGATCCATATTGTTGCAGAACTTGACACCTTTAACACCTAATTGGATCCCTAGCATGTTGCAGCTAGTTCGAAGATATTCTCATGAATCACAGCGACCGGAGAGAAGGAGCAAAGTTTGTCGACTTGTTCTTTAACCTGCTGCCCACTTTAAGCTTAAAAACAACGAATTTGTAGGCATTGTCTGAGTTGCACGCATTCTACACAAAGTATCGCCTTTTATACGAACATGAATTGGTAACACAGTTGATGATCCCAATCTTACAAGATACTGAAAATGAATCAAGTTCAAGGATACAAGTAGGATTTTTCAAAAAATTGAATTTACCCAATTCAAATTCAGTTTAACTAAATTGAAATTGAAT